AGCGATTTTGGCCAGACCTTTTTTTTCGATTTAGTCATCTCGTCATTCATTCATTCGTTCGTTCGTTTGGTTCAATCATTCAGTCATTTATTTTCTCTTTTTTAAAAACTTTTATTTAGCTATTCTTTTGTTTGGTTTGTTTTAACCATTTCTTTGTTCAGTTGATTATAAAGTGTGCGCATGCGTACTATAAAACCGTCAGTCAATTTGAATTTTTACGTCTGTATCTACTCTTCCACTTACTTGTGTGTCCGTGTATGGACTATAGAAGTATTAGTGTTCGGAAAGTAATTATGTATATCAACACTATGAGTTTTGAGTTAACCAACCAAAGTAGAACTATGGTTGAATGCTTAGAAAATGCGCTTACAACTACTTTACGATCTCTTGTCATCTCTCTCTCTCTCTCTCTCTCTCTCTCTCCCCGATAGTATGTCGATTATAATCAATTTTAGATATCATCTCTCTCTCCCTGATAGTATGTCGATTATAATCAATTTCAGGTTTTAAAAGATTGATTGATCGATCTGCTTTCTACGGCTTATCAACCTTTTGACGGTTATTTAAAGCCAGAATATATTTTTAGATTGTAAGAACTTTTGAGGGATTATAATGATTTAGAGACACAAATCTTAGTAATTAACCCATAGCAGGGAGGAGAAAAGGTGGATCCATTCCCGTTTCCCAGCTTATTTGCGTGTAAGTGTATATAAAGAACCCGACTGGAATTCGAACTCGGATCACCAGTTAACACTTTTGAGCCGTTATCCATTACATCATCTGCACGTTCAAGTTTACAGCACCTGGTATTCCGAAGCTAGGTGTTGATCAGTCTCGACGTTGTTTAACATCGGTGATCGTACGGGAATCGAGATTTCAACATGATAGAGCCGTACGCTCTATATTTTAATCACAAAATCTTTAAACGATAGAAATTTAACATTATTTTTTTGGCTTGTGAACCGAATACAATGTTCCATCAACCACAGCAGTTGTATAACTAAAAATGGCAACCATACTTTTTTTTTTTTTCATCGCATTCTTACTGGTGATGAAAAATAGGTTTTGCATTTCAAAAGAAAACTAAAAGAGAAAGTGGTCATCACAAAATAAGAATTCGGCATCACACCAAAACAAATCCCTTTGCTTTGTATTTAGTGAAACATTCATGATATAAATCCAAAGTCGAATCAGCAATATTACTGATACTGACCTGGCGTCTCAAAGTTGCTTCCCTCTGCCTTTTATATAAATAGTTTCATGATAATTGTTCGGATGAACTGTTTGGTATGGCACATAGACTGAATGAATCGAACGAATTTAAGCACGTTAAATCTGACGTGCTTTAAAAATTGCTTTGTTTACGTTGAGGTACGAAATTGTGCAGATATGTCTATTTCGAGAGAGTTGTCATATTTTTCACCGTGTGTGATATGCAAAAAAACTTACCTCACTGACTATATATATATATATATATATATATATATATATATATATATATATATATATATATATACGGCCTCCCTTACTCTTAAGTATCTTAAAACTACTCCTCAAAAGTGTATAAAAATAACATTTTTACCCTTGGGAATGTGATCTGATGAACCAGGAAAAAACAGCTACCTGGGGAAATAAAATATAATTAATGGATATATATATATATATATATATATATATATATATATATATATATATATATATAATTAATAAAAAAAATTTCCCATGCCTTTCCTTAGAAAATGCTTTGTTTACGTTAGGGTAGGGAACTATATATATATATATATATATATATATATATATATATATTAGATTAAAAAAAGGTCGCCTCATTTTCTAGTTGAACTGGTAAGATGTAACCGTTCTGTTCTAACAATTTCTTTTCTCACACTTATCGCTCGTGAAGCTCTGTTCTGGCCCCATGCTTACCAGTCAAGTTTGCTCTTCAAAAATTTAAATGCAATATCAATCATTGTCAATTGTCTTCCTGATTACACTTCTTTTGTTCTCATTTCTCAATAATGCTTCTGTTTTCTAATTCTTTCACACCGTGTAACTCCTTGTGGCATCACTGCCTTTTTTGGAGTGATTTCGATTAGAAGAACCTGAAAGGCAATGTCCATTACGGTCCACTGGAACATGTAAGGACCAAAACTCTAAATAGTTATTTCTAGCACCAAAGTATTCTGCTTTGGTAAAGAGAAAAAGTGACATTCTTCAGAAAGGACAATAAAATCTAAGAAAAATAAAACCCAACAAGACATAAGATTGTTAGGATGAGTGGTTATTGTACCTCCTCCATGCTAAACAAATTAGCGCTTAGAGCTTTTCTACTTTGGCTAAGCTGCCCGTGGAAAGAAACGTAATCTATGAGAGTTCCCGTGGATTATCAAAGTGAAAATCAGACTCGTGGGATATTCCATTACGGAGACGGTCTCATGTGTATAAAATAATACCGTATAACAGGCAATGCAATCAACCATAAACATTGCAGAAGCCAACCACGGGTCCTTAATGATCGTGACCGGAGGTGTCTGAATCTAATTGTCTCTGTTGACAGGCGAGAGTCGCTGGCTAAGATCATTTCCACGTGTAACGCAGTAGGTAACAGACGCATATGCATCAGCTCAATTAAGCAGATTTTAACTTCCATTTGGTATCGGAACGAAAAAACCGCCAGGATGCCTACTGTTCATTTGGCGCTAATGTACTTGGAATAAAAATGAAATGTTCTTCCTCCAGCTATGGGTTAAATAGCAGAGCAAACTGGGCACCTTTACCTGAGATGGCAAAAAGTCTAGAATTAAAACTATTATTTCAAAACAAGCATGAAGAGAGATGGTCTTCGTCAGGCTATTTTGACCTAGACATGCCATTTCTTCTATGGTTTCAGTGCCTCTGCTACCCTAAATGTCTACGGGACACACACACGTATATTTGAATGGCGACAATGATCGCTCAACTGATCCAATCAATGATGGCAGCTTAAAGTAGCGGAATTCAATATCAGTTGCAAGACACACGTGATGCAGTCAGGGTAGTTTATTTTGTTTAAGATAAGGAAAATGACATGATCCTATCGAAACACTCACTGAAAAAGCAGAAGCCTTCCAAAAGGCCAGCTGATACAGCCCAGAATAAATATTCAAATCAGAGTATGCCCCTACTCAGTCTAAACTCTAAGCTTATAGCATATCTACAGCCCATAATATACACCAGCATAGACTATATCTTCGTTTATACTTAGCGTGACAGAGGCACCTCGAGGCGGTGTAATGGTTAGCAAGCTAATCTTGATAAAATAATTACGGCTGAGTAGTGAGTTCGATCCTCACTAGATGCCCATTAATTTCGGTCTTAAGTCGAAACTACGCTTGGAAAATCATTATAATTGGCGAGGCACTTTTATAATCGGGGTATAAGTTAGACTATGCCAGTTTATTTTCCGAGTTATAAAATGGACTGATATAATATAGTTACTTTCTAAGCGTAGCTTAGATGTGGCACAAGGCCGAAAGTATGGGACACCTAGTGAGGATCGAACTCACTTTTCAGTCGTAACTGATCTAGACTGATATAATATACACCTTGAAGACAAAATGTATTGCTTCATTTTTCCATGTAGTCAAATGTAAATTATTAGAATTTAAAAACTCCTTCAAAGCATTGAAACCGCAGCCTTTGTAACCAGAATTTTGAACCTGAAAAAATGTCGTTTTAATAAAAAGTGTATATAATTAACTCAGCGAATACGCTTTGACAACGCCTAACCGAGCGGATGATTTGGTTGATATTGTTTAGTGGCATATTGACACATCAATGGGTCATTTAATGCAGAAATTTAAATATTTTTAACAGAGTTTTATGACTTCAAATAAATATAATTTGAACGCAATTGTACGCCTTCAGATAAAATATATTGTTAGTCATTCTGTTATAAATATATATTGTTGATTATTTTATTATCAGTGTATAACTTTATACTTTCAGAGTGTTTTGATGTGGGGGTTTTACTATTTGCCCGTAGCTGGGAGCCTAACTGATGATACCACCCCGGAGGAGGACAAGAGAGAGACTGCTTAAAAAAGAAATGGATATGGAAGATCGTGTATGAAACTGAGTGAGGAGAGACATGCTTAAGGAAAGAGAGAGATATAGAAGTTCGCGTATGACACTGAGGAAAGAGGGACAAAGAGAGAGACTGCTGAAGGAAAGAGAGAGATATGGAAGTTCGTGTATGATCCTGAGTGAGGAGGGACAAGAGAGAGGGATATGGAAGATCGTCTATGACACTGAGTGAGGAGGGACAAGAGAGAGGGATATGGAAGATCGTGTATGACACTGAGTGAGGAGGGACGAGAGAGAGGGATATGGAAGATCGTGTATGACACTGAGTGATGAGGGACAAGAGAGGGGGATATGGAAGATCGTTTATGACACTGAGTGAGGAGGGACAAGACAGAGGGATATGGAAGATCGTGTATGACACTGAGTGAGGAGGGACGAGAGAGAGGGATATGGAAGATCGTGTATGACACTGAGTGATGAGGGACAAGAGAGGGGGATATGGAAGATCGTTTATGACACTGAGTGAGGAGGGACAAGAGAGAGAGATATGGAAGATCGTGTATGACACTGAGTGAGGAGGGACAAGAGAGAGGGATATGGAAGATCGTATATGACACTGAGTGAGGAGGGACGAGAGAGAGGGATATGGAAGATCGTGTATGACACTGAGTGAGGAGGGACAAGAGAGAGGGATATGGAAGATCGTGTATGACACTGAGTGAGGAGGGACAAGAGAGGGGGATATGGAAGATCGTTTATGACACTGAGTGAGGAGGGACAAGAGAGAGACTGCTAAAGGAAGACGAGAGATATGAAATGAAAATCGTTTTATATTTTTAAAGATTATTCTTTCTATTTTGGCTAGAAATTCGTCCATCGAGTCATTATTTTAGAAATATTTCTTTTTGGTCTTATCGGGCTGGAATTTCTTTGTCATGTCACTCTTCAATTCCTATCTACGTTAAGTTTTATTTTCGTTTCGCATTCTTAGGAAAACTTTCAACAAAATGTACTTAATTCGTTATTTTGATGTATGAAGTTTAAACAAAAACTATAAAATGATAATTCTATTGTTAATATTTCCTGTCACATCTGTAACTCCAAACGAAGTTATGGACGAACGACATGTTTGAGATTTGCTTTACTTGAAACACTAGTGGCGTGGATATAACTCCATTTTGAGTGAGTTGAAATTTGATTCCATCAAAGCTGAGTACGCCTGAATTAAACGAAACAGTTCCGTACATACACACAGGATAATCATTGAAATCGAAGAGAGAAACATTCGTAAATACTCGGGAAAAATCATCTAAAATAAATTAAATATGTAAACTTTATTTTAATTAATGTTCGTTTATATTATTACTATTATTATTATATTTATATTATTTTCATTATTTAGTTTTCAAATAAATTAGTCGGGAAAAATCATCTAAAATAAAAGTAAATATGTTTTGTAAATTTAGCAATATTATAAGGTTACTAATTCGGAAATTTAAAAAATTGATATTTGAATATATTTTAAAAATTGATATTTTAAAAATTGAAATTTATTTTTAAAATTGATAGTCAGAACTAATCGATATTATTCCACCAAACATATCTCAGAGAATTAATCATGCCTAAATAACCTCATATTATTTTATTTGTTAATCATTTCACCCCATGCAAGGTGGAAATGCCACTAATGCGCATAGGGTTAATGGGAGTGAAAGTGAGAGAAAAAAAATGAGTATAGTAAGGACTGTGGAAAGGCGTAAAGATGAACGGGATTCAAGAAGACAGAAGATGGGGATTGACATTGCATTTAAATTTTTGTATCTTGCGGTTATCAGTGAAGCGAGGAAATAGGAAGTGAAAGAAAAGAAACTGTTAGAGTAGAACTTTCAGTTGCATTTAAAAATTTCAATAGTAAGCGGGTGGGACGTAGATGGCAATCTAGTAGCACGCTTAAATACATATAGTCGGGGTTAAAGGGAAAAAAGATCGTCAGCGCAATTGCCATGAAAATATTTGTAGAAAAGACAGAGAGAAGCCGCGCCACGCCAGTGAGAAAATGACTGAAGTCGACATGCCAAGTCAGGATCGATTACATTGCATATCTTTCTTTGGATTTTGTTAAAAAATGTATAGCAGGAGCACCAGACCAGATATGGCAGCAAGATTCAATGCAGAAACGAATGGTAGATTTATAAATGTGTATGATGATATATGGCAAGAAAAAATTCTGGTGCAATTCAGTTATCCAAATTTCCTTGTAGCCAATGCAGATATTGATTCAATGTAGTCGCTCCACTTAAAGTCTTGTAGGGAGTACATATATTCGAGTGCAATATACTAAATACGCCAACGACCAGGAGAACTCAATTCGTATTTGAAGAGTAATGCATTAATAGCAGTAGGAGACGCTGTTTTTAAAATCTCCTTTCTCTCGAGAACTAAACCGGATTTCCCGGAAGCATATATAGTGTCATCCACAGAGAGACTGTTTCGCATCTCTTTAATGTAGCTAGACGCCCGAATGCTTCAAACCGGGATCGAAACCCATCCGATTTGACATCAGTCAGATAACCTACCCATAGGCCATCGTCGCGCGGCAGATAAGAAGGGAAATTTAAAAAAAAAAAATTTATACTAAATACAGCCCGGAGAACTCAATTCGTACTTGAAGAGTAATGCATTAATAGCAGTAGGAGCCGCTGTTTTTAAGATTTCCTTTCTATCGAGAACTAGACCGGATTTCACGGGAGCATATACAGTGTGATCCACAGACAGACTATTACGCTGTTTTTATAGCTCTTCAGTGAGGCTAAACGTCCGATTGCTTTAAGCATGTCAGATACCCTACCCCTAGGCTATCGTTGCACGGGAAAGGTGGGAAAATTTTAACGTTTTTTCTATACTAAATATGCCAACGGCCAAGAGAACTCAATTTGCACTTGAATTCGTAATGCATTAATAGCAGTATGAGTCGCTGTTTTTTAAAATCTCCTTTCTCACGAGAACTCAACCGGATTTCCCGGAAGCATATATAGTATCATCCACAGACAGACTGTTTCGCTGTTTCACAGCTCTTCGGTGTGACTAGACGTCTGATTATTATTTCTGAAGAAAGTAATTAATTTTATGTCATAAATGTTATTTTTAGTAGATACTCTTACTTGAGTAGACATTCCGTTTATTTATTAGTATTTATTTTTGTCTACCGGCCAGAATATTCCAGAAATATTCCGTCAGGATTCGTATCCGTTTACCCATCTTACGTATTTTATACGTATCGGCCACAGAGTGTGTCGATGGTCAAGTCAAGTTCAATACAGCCTTTTAAAGTTATTTTTCTGTGGCTCTCGAAATAGCCATTCCTAACGTAAACAAAGAAATTTTGAAAGGAAGGGATGACTTTTTTTATCTATTAATCCGACAGAATTTATTGCTTAAACGTTAGTTTTAATTGACAACCATATTTGAGTAGATGAACCGTTTATTTAGTAAACAGTATTTTTTTTTATCTTTATCAATCGGGCTGAATATTCGAGAAATTTTAATAGTTAGAAATATGTGCTCTTCGGTAGGATTCGAACCTACGTTCCCCTAGGGGAAATTGTCATTAGATCTGACGTGATTTAAAAATCGCTTTGTTTACTTTGAGATTCGAAAATCAGCAGAGATGTCTATTTTAAGAGTCAAAGAAAAAAATCTGTGTTTAAAGGCAATATTCAACTTTGCTTGACCAATTTGCATTGTTAAAGATTAGAGTTGCATTTTCAATTTGTGGTAATATAATTTCTGATGGAGTATTCATTTGCAAAGAGAAGAGAGTTACACAATTCTATAATGTTTTAATAAATAAAAATGTCCATCCCTTTCCTTCGAAACTGCTTTGTTTACGTTAGGATAAGAAACTGAGCAGACATGTCTATTTCGGGGGTCAGGGGAAAAAATCTGTTTAAAGGCAATATTCAACATTGCTTTGAGGTCAAAGCACATCAGATCTAATATATATATATATATATATATATATATATATTATTTTATTTTATTTTATTTTTTTTATTCTCTCCCTCTTTCTTCTTTTATCTGGACAAATTGACTCGATTTATTCAAAAAAAAAAAAAACTTCAGTCGGAAAAGATGAATATTTGTATATATTCATGAAATAAATAATAACCAAATGGATTCTTAAGGATTGCGCCGCTAATATTATTAACACACACACACACATATATATATATATATGTGTGTGTGTATATATATATATGTGTGTGTGTGTATATATATATATATATGTATGTATACATGAATGTATATATATATATATATACACACACACACACACACTCATATATATATATGTGTGTGTGTGTCTATATATATATATATATATATATATATATATACAACCTTCTTTTTTAAACATATGTATGCCGAAAGTGCAAAGGAGACGAACAATAAAGACTGGCTGTAAAAAGCACAATTTGCTTCATTTTCAAAATTATCTGAAATGGAAGAGAGGCAGAAATGTGTTTGTTGGCCAATGATTTGCTCATATATATATATATATATATATATATATATATATATATATATATATATATATATATATATATATATATATATATATATATATATATATATGAATGTATATGACTATCTCCCTTTCTCTACAGAGGCGGGAGAGTTTTAACGTGATATGCGTGTGAGATTGCTTACTTGCTTGTTTATGAGTCTGTTTCTGTTCGCACGAAAATGTATCTGCCTTCTGTGCCAATAAAACTATTCCATAAGCTACACTTTCCTTTCTTTCAATATAACAAATAAACGCCAAAGCAAAGGGCAAAATATAAGACAGAAATAAATAAGATTATAAAAGAAAATAATACAGCGAAATGAAGAAACAAATAAAACTGAAAACAACAAACGAAATGAAAAACAAGACAACAATCATTAGAATAAGAAACACAGAAACCAAAGAAGAAAAAAAAAATAAATTAACAAAAGCGAAGAAAGGGTAAATAAGGAATTTGATAAAAGTCAAAAGAATAAGTGACATTTTGTACCCAAATCTGATATCCATAGTCAGGAAACATAACAACGTCTTGGACGTTTGCGTGATCAGTGAGGAACGAACGAGGAAGGGCAGGCTGCTGGGTTAAAAGCAGGTAAGTTATGGGCCGGGACGGTGACGTACCGACCAGGTCTTTCTAGTCAGCTCTTTTCGCAGGATGAAAAAAAAAAAAGGACGAAGAAGAAACAACAGCTTCAGAGCAGGAAAGAAAAAGGTAGAGATAAAGTAGAAGAAGAAATGGAAAGATTAATTTAAAAAGAAAATAATATATATATATATATATATATATATATATATATATATATATATATATATATATTTGTGTGTGTGTGCATGACCAAGAAAGTGCGGGAAAGCAAACCTAGCGAAAGCGGACCTAGAAAGAATATATATATATGTGTGTGTGTGTGTGTGCGTGTGTGTGTGTGTGTGTATATGTGTTTGTGTGTGCAAATATATAGAAAATAGCAAAGAACACGTTAGCTAAATAATCCGAAGTTCTTTATTATTTTTGTTTTTATTTTTAAAAAACAGTGCTCAATACATAAGTAGAGCCTAAATTATAATTACGATTCCTAAAAATTCGCTTGAGGATGAAACAGATCTTGATACTTTTATTCAGTTTAATTTTAATAATTATATTGAAGTTTTCGGCTCCTGTTTTTGAAACATGAGAACACTCATGTAGCGAAGGGATCATATTAAAAAAATAATCATATATATATATATATATATATATATATATATATATATATATATATATACACACACATATACACACACACACACACAGAGAGGGTGCGATGGGTAAATTGTCGTCATGCTATATTTTTCATTTCGCGCATGCGCGTTGTATGTCTTTTCATTTTGTCTACTGCACAGTATAGTTGGGTCA